AGTCTAAATGAATCTTGATTAAACTTTATATATGCAATTATTTTATGGAGAAACACTGAAGCACTGGCATATGAATGGAGTGAGTATTTGGAAAAATGGGGAAATTGCTTGTACACAGGTGTCTCTGTGTTGGTATATAGGTACATATTCATATGTGTATCTGTGTATGTGCCTATGCATATATTCGCAATCCTGTGGGTATGCGTATACATATATACACACGAGATGATAATTTCTGTGGGTGTAGCCTGCAAACACCACTTTCACTTCTGCTTTCCTGTTATAATGCTATCTGTAGGGTTAGTCCAAAATCTGTTAAAAAAGGATTTTTCTAGTCACTCTCTTAGATAAGAATAGCTCAAGGGCTAATCAAGGCTGAACTCCAGGTAAGTGAAGATTGAATTATCTGATAGCAAACATTGAGCACTGATAAAAGAGATCAGGAGATTGTGTGCCTAGAGATAAGTAGAAAAATGTATCTTGCCAGTCATTTCAAAAAGAGAGTTGGAGAGAGAGGTAGGAAAAGCCTTGGCTTTCACATATTAGGCTCTTACCATAGACCCAGAGCTTTATGGGCTGACACATTTAAAAGAACTAATAGCATTACTGCTCTTACGCCAATCAGATTCTCTTAGCGGGAATTCCCCTGCTTACATAGCCAAGGTGGAGAGTTGAAGTGGGAAGGAAGCAGCAGCATGAGAGGAAGCTGGGTAAAGAGCGATCAGCGTGAGAGAGATGAAACGTGACAGAGGGTAACTGGTATGGACGGCGCTGGAGCTGGAGCTGGTGTCCCCAGGAATCTTTCCTGCATAGAGGTGAGTTTGCAGGAGAGTGGAGGCTGGATATGCAGGGGAAGAGTGGAGTTGCAAGGCCAGAGTAAGAAGCAAGGAGGAAGCACTGGGAAGAGGCAATCTAACCTCTGCCACCCTAGTCATCCCCCTCTGCATGGGGATTCAAGGTGCTTGGGGCTGCTGGGTGGGGGCCAGCTCCTGCAGAAGTGCAGGGTGGAGAGTGATTTCTGGCTGTCAGCAGAAGTGGAGCAGGAAGGTGTGATTGCAGGCAGCTGGCAGGGCTGCATGGCAGGCAGCAAAAGGAAGGCTCCCTGGGAGAGCCAGGATGTGCTGACAGGAGCAATGTCCTTCAGGAAAAGGGGAGAGAAAAGCAGCAAATGAAGAAGACAAATTGGGTCAGACTGTGTTGTTTCTGCTGGGTTTCCTCATGGGAGGGTGCCTTGTATGTGCTTTGTCCCATTTCTATGTTGTCCCACTTGTGTGTCGATATCGGCTGCCCAGGGAAGGCTAGGCGTGAAGGTGGGCTGCATTTGTTTTAGTAATTCAACCAGGAAAGAGCTCATTGAGCAATAGTCTTGGGGCAGTGGGATCAGCTATCTCCTCACCTAACTGTCCTGTTGCACATCTTCTGTGTTGGAAACAAGAAGGGGCATGCCTATATATGTGCATGCTTGTGTGCATACACACATATACTATTAAGGCAATGATGGTGGGTGATGCTAGGACGTATGCAACCCACACACAACCAAGTGGAAAGCAGCAGCTTTCCCCAGTCTGCTTGTAGATCAATCCCTTTGCCAACCAGAGATCCCCTCACTGCAGACTCCATAGCACTGCTCAAATTTACCAGCCCTCATTTAGCTTGATAGTGTTCCCCAAGCTAGAAGCAATTTGCATACAATTGGCACACTTTATTTTAGCAGTTTTATTTGCCTTTAGCATTTGTTAGGTTTTATAGAACCTCCTTCTGTTGGCACTCATGGCTTTGTTTAAGAATATGCACGTATTTCCTCAAATACCTGGCCTGGGCCAGGGAAGATAATCCTGAGCATGTCTGATGGCTTGGACCCTTTGTCCATAACCCAGAAATGCTTTGAAAGTCTACTTTATCACAGAGGCCTCATGGTAAAAGGGCATTTGTGCAATTATCTGTATTATTAGCTGCATTTCAGTTTCTGTGTGGCTTTTTTTCTTCATATTGCAACAGGGAAAATGATTCCTTGGTGAGGCAATGGTATCATGGACTGGGGCTATATTGCTGAGATTGTGCGCAGAGGCCTGAAACAACCCTGTAAGTCAGAGTCTTAAGCTGAATGATTAGTCAGGAATGGGAAGGGGAAGAGAATGGCTAAAATAATGAGGGTGGGAATGGGATTTCCCTGAGCGCCTACTCATATTACAGATGAGCAAAAAGACATGGAAAAGATGCTCATGGAAGTGGCAATAAAGAAAAGCATCCTGTACCACCAAATGGGGTTCAGTCCTGCAGTCACTGGTTGCTTACAGCCTGGTAAGGTGGAGAGCTGTTAGGCTCAGCCGGTGTTTCCCATGCAGTACCTGCCCAGTTCCCTTCTGTGCTGTCAATTTCCCATCTACCTATATGTTGGTGCTCTAAGAGCCAAAGCTGCAGGTGGCTTCAGCCTTGAGCGATTAATTCCTGACCTTGAGTGAAAGATAAAACAAAGTGGACTAACAAGCAAGCATATGTATGAGACAAGATAAGGGATTATTATGTGCTGTAATCAGTAACTAGTCAGAAGTAAAAGAACGTCTCGTGAACAGGTGGAATTATCCAATCATGTAAATTGTTTAGGCATATGCTCGCCACTTGCTGATAAGTGGTAACAAATCAAAAGTGAAAGAATCCCATGTGCTTGGGGTGTGGAGGAGGAAAAAAGGATATATAAGCAGTGCAAAGTTTAATAAAGTGCTGATGCCTGATGCCTGAACACATCTCGGTGTTGGTCATTTCATCCACCGTACCTATACATAGATTTTGATTGTCCAGGTTGCCTGGTTGTTTCTTTTTCTAACAGTAAGCATTTTGATGGCCACTTTAAAAATCCCACTTAAATTTGTTGTTTGTGAACCTTACCTTACTCATAGCTTTGCTCCTGTGTCCTAGAGAACTGTGTTATCCAGCCAGAATTGCAGAACCCAAAAAGCCCCGTAAAAGACCCTCAGCTGGACGACAGTTGAGTGTGACTACAGATCGCACTTCTTTGTGTGGAATTCACATGGACAAATATCTAGGTATCTAAACTGTGGTGCTCCATTTTATATTGACCAGGTCATTTCTATGTCAGTCAAATCTTAATGTGGGTGTCCAAGAGACTTGATGTGAATTGCCCCTAAAAGTTGTTATTCTCGTCATTGACTTTGGAGGACATGGTGGGTGACCAGCTCAGCTGTGGACATCTAAAGACAGGGGAGAGGACTGTGTCCTTCAAGACCCAAAGCTCTACATAAGAGAGAGACAGAGATTAAAGGAAAGTAACATAAGAAGTAAAAATGTTTATAATCCTTCAATTGGGAAGAGATGGAATGATTGAAAAAATTATCCACAACTTTTCCTCCTCTCCCCATATGGCCAAACAGTCTCAGCTAATTCTGCCCCTTTTGAATAAGTTTAAGCAACTCTGGCTAAAAATAATGCAACTAGAAGAGTAGGGCTTGTCTGTATGATCTTGCCTGTATGATCTTGTCTACGTGGGTCAGCTATTGTAAAATTAGAGTATGAATTCAAAGTACAGTAGATCTTTTACACAAAGTCTCAGTGGGATGACTGAAGGAGAAAGTACTCCTCAGTGAGCCAAGCTAACCTGATTAACCTGATACAGAGCCCACAATGATCTTTCAGAACCTATTCATTGACCTCTTTGGAGCTGGCTCGCTCTTTTCAGTGTCAGTAAGACACCTAGCTCCCCGGGGTTTTGTGACACACTGGGGGAAGTTATACTTTAAAGGTGCTCTTTTGATCTTTTCCAAGAAGGCATAAACAGAAAAAGGGTTATAATTCAATATATAATAAGAGTTCTGAAGGGAAACTCTCAGGCTTCAAAAATTGTTCTTCCAAATCCTGAGAGGGACAGAACTAAAGTCATCTCGTTGGAAGTAAGGACAGGGCAGATATTGCAGCAAGCTCTGCAACACAGAAATCCGTGTCAAATCAGTACTGTAAAAGGCACAACTATGAGAGGAAAGAGAAGTGACACAGGATCCACATCTGTGTGACCTCTCTTGAATGATTTTAGTCCAGAAGATGAGGAACAGGGTGTGGGGCTGGAAAAAGCTGATGTGGTCCAGCCAGCTGGTCTACACCAGGCTCCAAAAGCTCCTCATAGCTGAGCCTGACCTTCCCTCTACCACAGAGACCCAAAGCAGAAGCTGCCACTGGCAGAGGAGAAGGATGTGGCAGTAAAAAGGAAGAGCTAAGAGCATGTAGGTTACAAGCATCAGTTTTCCAGCTTAAGTTTCATTAGAAAGTATTGGACTGATTGCAACATGGTAATAGTGGCCTACACAGACACCCAAGCAAATATTTACTTCCCTGCTCCTAGTGCATTTACAGTCAGAATAGCCAACGACAGATAAAATGAGGAAAGGGACTGAGACATGCAACTCTCTTCTCCCTATTGTCAGAACTGATATTAGAAATACGCTTTAAATGAGTATTAAATGCAAACGTAACTGTCTCCTGCAAGACATTGACTTTTCTTGATACAACCAGGATTTGAAACAAATACAGGAGACTCCCTATAGTAAAAAAATTAACATACAAAATAATATTTGCAAATCCACAAGAAAAAGACCTAAGGTGGGGCTGAGGGGGGACATATGGGGACTCTTTCCCACACAGCCAAAGGATCAGATTAGTAATAATAGTGTGATCATTCAAACGTTTAGCTGAATCTGCAAAAGATTTGTGCAGCTGTTAATTGATTTGATTGTCCTGATTCCAAAATTAGAAAACATACTGGGGGAAAAAGAGTAAATGCAGTGTACTTTTAGCATTGAGCAAGTGATTCTGGAATATCTGAGTATAGTTCTGACTAATTGTTTCATCTCTGAATAGTGTTAAAAACAAATACAGTACCTTCAACAGGACAGAAGTGTAAGGATTATGTTTTAGCTATATCCAAAATGTGGCTTCTTCAAAACTAACTATTCATTTTATATTTGCTCTGATTTCATGTTTTAGGCAAAAGAATGACTACACACACCTGGCGAATGTGGAGCATCTACATGGTTTTAGCTGTAAACCTCTCCGAACAGCAAGTGCTGAAGGAGGCTTGTCCTTCATGCAGTGCCACTCAGCTTTGCAACTGCTCTTCCATGGGTTTAGACTTCATTCCCCCAGGGCTCACGGGCAAAATCACAGTGTTAAACCTGGCCTACAACAGGATAAAGGCCATCCGATCCCAGGATCTGCAGCAGGCTGTGAACCTGAGAGCCCTGCTGCTGCAGTCCAATGAAATCAGCTCAATAGACGAGAACTCATTTCACTCCCTTGGGAAACTAGAGCTCTTGGACTTATCAAATAACAGCTTGGCTCACTTGTCCCCTGTGTGGTTTGGGCACCTTTTTTCTCTCCAGCACCTCCACCTTCAAGGGAACACCTACAGAGACCTGGGGGAAAGCTCCCCCTTTTCTAACCTGAGGAACCTGAGCTCTCTCCACCTGGGCAACCCACAGTTCTCCACCATAAGACAAGGCAACTTTGAGGGCATTGGAGTTCTTGACAAGTTGTGGATTGATGGTGGCAATCTCAGTCAATATGAGCCAGGAAGTTTGAAACCAATTAAGAAGATAAATCACATGATCTTAAACCTAAAAAATTCTAATACATTCTCAGCAATTGTCAGGGACATTCTGCACTCTGCCATTTGGTTAGAAGTGAGAAAAACAGCATTCAGTATACCTGCTGAAGTGCAACTGTTGAGAGTCATGTCTTCTTCTTTTGCAAAGAAAATTTCTTTTAAACAGTCCTTATTGACAGATGCTACTGTGCCTGAGGTTGTCAGCATTTTAGAAGACATGCCAAAATTAGTGGAGGTAGAGATGATAGACTGTAGATTGTTGGGAACTGGACAATGGGGTACACAAATTCAAGCAAAACAATCACAGACAGTTACAGTTTTGACAATAGAGAAATTAAGTATAGAAGAATTTTATTTGTTTACAGATCTTCAGACTGTGGAAGGTCTGCTATCTGTTCTTACCAAAGTCACAGTTGTAAACACCAAGGTCTTTCTGGTACCATGCAGACTTTCGCAACATCTTCTGTCATTAGAGTATCTTGACCTTAGTGCAAATTTGCTTGGAGACCAGAGTTTGGAGCATTCAGCCTGTCAGGGTGGTTGGCCCTCACTAAAAACTTTAAATTTAAGTCAGAATTCATTGAGTGACCTGGAAATGACGGGCAAAAGTTTGTCTCATCTAAGAAACCTAATTCTCTTAGACATTAGCCAAAATAATTTTGGTGAGATTC